CGGGAAAATGCTGTATGTGGATCCTGCAACCTCCAACCTCACTGCGTATTCTCTGATTTTTAGCAACGCGGAATGGGCCGTGCCACAGATGCGCCAGCTTTTTTGCATATCCCTCACGTACCCGATCTAGGTATAATCAAACCCTTGATCCAGACTCTACAGGATGAGGACGTACTAGAGCATTATGCGTATCGGCCCGATCCGCGATCGCCTCACGTAGACGTTGGTTCACTTGTTCTCTGGCCTGCTGATAGTACTTTTGCATACGATATCGCCATCTTCTCGGATCTCGATCGTGCCTGCGAGTGCTCCCCACCGGGATCACCGCTTCCAAGGTAGATCTAGGACCCCAGCCATGTATTATGTAGAAAGGCGTTTCACCTCGGATCCGATCTCTTGCAGTGCTGATCGCGAAGGTGAGTCGTTCAGCATACTAGTCACAATCTCGCTGATCTAGATCCTCCACACACATCTTAAGGGCCCTGGTAGTTGTCTGGACCATACGTTCTGCAGATCCATTAGCTTGGGGTCGATACGCCATAGTAGCCCGTTGGCGTTGCCCCATGATCTTGTTGAACGACTTAAAGAAGTCAGACGTAAAGCCTGGCTCCCGATCGTGTCGGATCACCTCGCTCGCGCCAAATCGGCGGAAGACACATTCTTCGTAGGTCTCGGCGATTGTCCGAGCGGATCTAGAGGCGTTGGATTTGGCGATTACATATCCCGAGAATAGATCCACGAAGATCAACAATTCGGTATTGCCATTGAAGGATCTAGGCAATGAAGGTATGTGATCCATGGCAATGATCTGGAATGGGTATGTCGCCGGAAGGTTACCCGGTGACTCGCCCTGGATCCGGGGTCTTCCTTTGCCTGTTTCACAGTCAACACATTCCCCCATGTATCGCTGTACACCCCTCCAGTGGAAATGATCACGGATCCGACCGATCGTAGGTGCGACTGACCCCTTGATGGCCACCCTATAGACTCGTGTGATAGTGATGCAAAATGTCCTGTTGAAGCGTCTCAGGTATCATCAGTCGCATCATCTTATCTCGATCTGCGGCAGTTTCCTTAGTTGTCGGGCAATAGAAGAGTAGATCCAACTGATCCGCTTCATAATTCATAGCAATAGATCCAAACATCTTAGCCTCTTCTTGTGTCAGATCCCGGATCTCCCCGACCAAATACTTCTTCAAGCCCATGATCCACGACTCCTTGTCCTGCACTTGTCGGATCCGCTCGATCCGTAGCTCACTCACGGGAACGATTTTTTATGGGTCAACCGCTGCGCAGGTCAAATTTGGGTCAACACTTTTTATGGGTCAA